ACATTTTACTATAATTTGTGCTGTTGAGGTTATTTACATCTATTGTATCTGAAGTACTATACAGTGGGTTGTTATTGTGAATCTCTTCCTAACTTCCTGTTAGTGATGTCCCTTGGGTAGCTTGGAATCAGGCTTCCTGAGTGTACTTACGCCAGGGAAATCGCACATGCTACGAAATACTTTTCTCACTAGAGCTAGCTGTCAAGCATTTACCAGCACATCACTAATGTTTACCATCAGACCAACCTTGAATATTCCCAGCAAGGCGACATTCCACTTACCTGTCTGGCTGCCCTGGTTATACTCCCTGAAGCTTTCTTTGTTTTAGCTATCAGAATCCTAGCATATTGTATGACTTCCCACTCAATATTTTAAAGTTTTGTTTTGTTTTTCCCTAACTTGCTTTGCTGGGTGATGGTACTTGGAACTGGCCTCCAAAAAAAGACGGGAATAAGCCACTTGATACTGAAATTGCCCTTGCAATATGGTTCTTGGGGAGTTATGCACAGTTACCATACAGTTTAATAGGCTTAAATTAATCATTTGATTTTTCTCTAGAAAAGATGAAATCTGAGGTATACCACCAGTGGGTGAAAGAATCGTTTAGCATGTAGAATATTTGCATGAAGGACTATGAAAAGATAAAAGAGGAAATGTTTCTAGTTGTGTGTTTTGTTTACATGAATATTGGAAAAAATTGGAGCTTGTTTCCTTCTTCCACTCCCACTCCGGTTTTAATAGAATATCATGTGTAGATCATCCAGAGATTTGGTGTTTTGAGAATTTCACTTACAGCTTGTTCAACTCTTCATTTGGGTCGTCTGACCTCAGTTGTGTTGTCTTTCTGGTTTGCGTTAGAGTGAGAAAAGCCAAGTTCAGTGTCTACAATGAGAAATGCCACATATCACATATGTGTATGGCTGTTTGATAAATGGGAAGATGATAGCATACTATTAAAAATCTGCAGGGAGTTCCCTGGTGGCCTAGTGGTTAGGATTTCAGGCTTTACTGCTGTGGCCCAGGTTTAGTCCTTGGTGAGGTAACTGAGATCCCACAAGCCACAGCGGCAAAAAAAAAAAAAAATCTCCAGATTTCAGGAGCGATACCAGGTGAACTTCAGCGGCCTCTAAGCAATGGAGTTGGATGTACATGATGAATGTATGCTTGGCTCTGGAAGAGTCTGCATTCGTGCAAATCATATTAGAAGATAATTTTAAAAAATATATTGTATATTCCTTTGGTCTTTTTGTTTTCCAAAGTGAAGAATCTTATTTATTCTCTCTATAATTGTTTATATGTGTAGACAATGATGTGAATCCTTGTCCCTTACCTCTTGCCCAGTCTTGGAAAGCATGCCGAGAGTCAGATGTTTCATAAAGGAGTATAGCCAAGAGTCTTCAGACAATACAATTATTAAGCATGGTAAAAGTGGCGTGCTGTGTATTGTTACATTTACTTAGCATTCCAAGGAAGTATTTTAGGGAAAAGGTGTCCATGATAAGAAAACAAAGCCCCGTTGACTTTCCCAAGTAAATAGTTAGATAAATAGATACCCACCGCTGGGCAGTGACAGTGGCGTGGGTGTGAGGGGAGGCATCTTCACAGAACAGTCGCCAGCTTCCCAGCAGCTAACGCTATAGAAGAAATGGAAATAGCATTGGGGGCATCTCTGATTCTTTTAAGTGGTCCTGAGTTAGGCCTTGATGCCGTGTAGATAAATTCAGTCCATAACACGCAGAATCTTTATTGGAATTTGTACATTCATCTCTCACAGCTGTGGAGAGTTTAGACTAGTCACAACTCTCACTGGGATACTATCATCTTTGTAATTTGAAAAAGGATCAGGAGCCTGCAGGCTTGGAACATCTTGAGAAAGCTCTGGCTCTGAAATACATCATCACACGTGGGGGACACCACTGGCGGCATCATCGCAGAGAGCTTAGGAATGCCGAAATCAAGTACTGCTCTGGCGTGATTTCAAATGGCCTGAGAACTGGTTTTTTTTTAAACTGCAAAACAGATTCTTTCCTCTTCCATCAACCCCGTTGCTGTCAATGTGTCCAGTGTTAGGTGCCAGAAATGAGCATAGCCTCTTAACAATAACAATGACAAGGTTAACATGGCCGCCGGGGGCTCTCTCAAGAATCTGTTAGGGTGTATTTGGATCCACAGACACGTTCTGAAGATGTGCACCTCTTCAGTCTTTCTAGCCTAAGTACATTTCTCTTCGGCAGCTTGGACAAAACCTGTCACTTTTTTGCCAGACCTTCTCATGCTTTCAGGCCCCTCGGCCACTATTTTTCATGGACCCCCATGTGTCCATATGGTAGGGCTAGGCTCAAAGTTGGTATATGGGAAGCGGCCTCTGACAGCACAGAGGCCTGGTGAACTATAGTCATTCGTTCAAAAGGCCAGTGCTCACAGATGTGCTCTAAGAGGGTCATACACTTTTTGATCCCACCCAAATGGATATTTTATCACCATGCACATAGCAACCAACAAACAGATCAGCCCGAAGAGGCAAGTGCTAATGTATGTGGCGCAAACCCATCATCCCTCTGAGGAGTCAGTAGTCGAGCCTTTGTTTGAGGCTTTGACATTAAAATGATTTTTTCACTTCTGTAGTTCTGTGAGTCCAACTCCCTCTTCCCTCCTCCTTGTTTCATATCATTTTTTGCTTTATGATTTTCAGCCTTCAGAAAGTTAAAACTGATTCAAGCAAAAGAAAAAAGGATCAGTTGAGGAGCCATGTGGGGCAGTAGGAATTTCAGCGAGGCGTTATAACGAAAGCAAAGTGAGAACCAAATGGATGGAGGCCATCAGAAATGTCTCACAGGCCGGGGCTTAGGTTTAGTGCCTCGTAGTCTTCCGTGTCCCCGATTGGCCATTGTGCCTCATAGGAAGGAGGCCCGGGTTTTAAGCTGACCAGTTTGCTCTATTTCTTCAGTCACACTTCTACCTATCAATCAATCTTTATAGTTTTAAAAAAGATACCTGTAGGTTTCTGAAAATCCAAAAGCTCTCCACCTACATGAAAAGCTCACAGAAGTCCCTAAGGATAAAGCCAACAGAACTGTCTCCCTTACAGCGAACTGCCCAAGGAATATTATAGGGGGATGGAAAGGACTTTAGTGATTGTGTATAAAACTCTTTCATTTTACAGATGAAGCAGTTAAGGCCAGAGAAGTGAAGCAA